CCATCCTGTGGAGCCAAGTCTGCTCGGCGGGAGGGCCCGGCCGGCCTCCCGCGCGGGCCGGCCTCGAGCACCGCGTCGGGGCTCGTCTGCAGGCGGGTTGCTGATTTTTTACCCTGTGGGTTATTCAGGATATTTCCCCTTGGAGGCGGGCTTTTGATTTCACCCTAGGGCCACAGATCCTGGCGTTGCAGTTTTTTCGCGCCTGGCGTTTTCGTTCAATCTCGGGCCCCCGGACCCTCGCAGATCGATCTGGCCCGAAAAATGACACAGAAAGGTATGGTCTGAGGTTCCAGTCGTGATGTTTTCCGATGTCGCATGTTTTTTGCAACGTCGGATCTCAGGCCAGGGGGTATTCCCTTAGGATACCCTAGGATACCCTAGGATTTTCCCCTAGGATGTTCCCCTGGGATATTCCCATGCTTATGACACCCTTCGTTCCCCTAGGATATTTCCCCCTGTAGGCGGGCTTCTGATTTCACCCTACGGCACCGAGATCCTGGCGTTGCAATTTTATCGCGCGGCGTTTTCGTTAAATTTCGGGCCCCGGGACCCTCACAGATCGATCTGGCCCGAAACATTTCGCAGAAAGGTAGGGTCTGAGGCTCCAGTCGTGATGTTTTCCGATGTCGCATGTTTTTTGCAACGTCGGATCTCAGGGGATATTCCCTTAGGATACCCTAGGATACCCTAGGATATTCCCCTAGGATGTTCCCCTAGGATATTCCCATGCTTATGACACCCTTCTTTCCCGTAGGATAGTTCCCCCTGTAGGCGGGCTTCTGATTTCACCCTAGGTCCCCGAGATCCTGGCGTTGCAATTTTATCGCGCCTGGCGTTTTTGTTCAATCTCGGGCCCCAGGACCCTCGCAGATCCATCCGGCTCGAAAGATGACGCGGAAAGGTAGGGTCTGAGGCTCCAGTCGTGATGTTTTCCGATGTCGCATGTTTTTTGCAGCGTCGGATCTCAGGGGATATTCTCCTAGGATACCCTAGGATATTCTCCTAGGATGTTCCCCTCGGATTTTCCCATGCTTATGACACCTTTCATTCCCCTAGGGTGTGCCCCCCTGTAGGGGGACATGCCCTTTGTGGGCCCCGGAAACGGCAGGGCCGTTTTTTTCACCGTTTCCACAAGAATGTCTTTTGAAAATGGAAACGGCAAAAAAACGGCGACCGGAAACGGCAAAGAAACGGCTCCAGGACTGGAGCCGGAGCCCGAACCGGTCAAACAACGGCGACAGAACCTGTAAAAAACGGCGTCGGAACCGGCAAAAAACGACAAAACGGAACCAGTAAACAAACGGCCCTGTCGAGGGATTCCGACTCCCTTCGAGTCGGCTTCGGGCCCCGCTCTGGATGCCGACTCCTCAACAACGGAGGCCCACTGGCCTGCCGATGTCTGCCGATTCGACTTCTCTCCCGACTCGGCTGCCGACTTCCACCGATCCGATTCCGCCCGATCGCCGATCCGACCTGTCGAGCTCGACTGTGGGCTCTCCCGCCGCGGGGCCGCGGTGGCCTCCGCCCTCGCCCCTTCGCCCGCCTGCCCCCGCGGCCTCCCACGTCCCGCGCCCCCCCGTCCTCCCCAGAACCCCCCCCCTCGCGTGGCGAGACAACGCGCGACGGAAGTGCTCCTTCGCTGCGTTGGGCCCCCATGGGGGCCACTGCCGGGCCTCGGGGCCGTCAAAGAACGGTGCAGGATGGACACGGTGTGCGAACAGGTGAAATTCGTCGGATGTTTTGTGGTGGTGTGAGTTTCCGTCTCAGCACATCTTGTTTGTATTTCGGTTAGTTTACTGACAGGACAGAAGCCAGCCCCAGTGAAGGGGTCCAGACCCCTGGGGGTCGACGTCGCGACAAAAATCACGACGTCGGGGGTCTGAGTCGCCCCTCCCCCCCCCCCCGCGACCACGACGACGAAGGATCGCAACCGTTTCGGACCGATCGTCGACCACTTCGGACCGATCGCAGCCAGTTGCGATCGGTCCGACCGAAGTGGTTGCGAGGCTTCGGGGACGCTTTCATGAGGCCTCGAATCACGGGAACAGCATCAGAGCGCGTCTGGATGCAGTGAGTTCCCTTAAGCTTCCCAATGGGAATCTGGGATCTCGCTCTCCTCACCGCGAGGCCCCCGTGGAGCCACCTGAATGGGCTTAAACGGGCCCGATCGTTATCGTTGTGATCGTAATCGTTGTTTTTAAGTCGGGCCTGTCCCCCTGCAGGGGGATTTCTGGCGATAAATAGGAAATACCAAACGAATGCCCCAAAAAGGTCAAACAATGCTAAACAAAATAGTCCCCAGACTACTGCGAAGGCCTGACGGCCGGTGCCGCCGACCCTGTTCGCAATGCGCAGCAAGAGGCACGGGCTGTGGGATGGTTTGGGGGAACGGGGAGAAGGACGAGAAGGTGGGGGAGGGAGGTGTCGTATCTGACCCGGGACTTCCCCGGGACTCCCCCGGGACCCCCCCTGGGACCTCCTCTCCCCCCCCCGTCGGGGAACGGAAAGGGAAGGGGCTTCCCTTCGACTCAATGACGACGTTGCTCAAGGTCGGTACGGGGGGGGGGCGTCGTATCTGACTCGGGGGGGGTCGCTACCCCACCCCGCTACCCCCCCCCCCCTCCCGGCGGGGGAGGGATCAAAGGGAAGGGGCTTCCCTTCGACTCAATTACGAGGTTGCTCAAGGTCGGCTTGGCTGGAGCCCAGGGGAACAGGAGTCCCAGGGGGGGGCGTCGTATCTGACCCGGGGGGGGGGGTCGCTACCCCCCCCCCTCCCGGCGGGGCGGAAATGAAAGCGGGCAGCGGTGTTCGACTCAATTAGAGGTTGCTCAAGTCGGCTTGCTTGAGCCAGGGGAAGAGGAGTCCCCTGGGTGGGGCGTCCGTATCTGACCCGGGGGGGGGGGGGGGGGGTCGCTACCGCCCCCCGCTACCCCCCCCTCGCCTCCCGGCGGGGGAGGGATCACAGGGAAGGGGCTTCCCTTCGACTCAATTACGAGGTTGCTCAAGGTCGGCTTGGCTGGAGCCCAGGGGAAGAGGAGTCCCAGGGGGGGGCGTCGTATCTGACCCGGGGGGGGGGGGTCGCTACCCCCCCCCCCTCCCGGCGGGGGAGGGATCAAAGGGAAGGGGCTTCCCTTCGACTCAATTACGAGGTTGCTCAAGGTCGGCTTGGCTGGAGCCCAGGGGAAGAGGAGTCCCAGGGGGGGGCGTCGTATCTGACCCGGGGGGGGGGTCGCTACCCCCCCCCCCCCTCCCGGCGGGGGAGGGATCAAAGGGAAGGGGCTTCCCTTCGACTCAATTACGAGGTTGCTCAAGGTCGGCTTGGCTGGAGCCCAGGGGAAGAGGAGTCCCAGGGGGGGGCGTCGTATCTGACCCCCCCCCCCCCTCCCGGCGGGGGAGGGATCAAAGGGAAGGGGCTTCCCTTCGACTCAATTACGAGGTTGCTCAAGGTCGGCTTGGCTGGAGCCCAGGGGAAGAGGTCTCCCAGGGAAAGGGAAGGACAGAGACGACGAGTACAAAGAATGACGGAGATGACCCCTGACACACGCCGACAGGGTCCAAACGAATGCCCCAAAAAGGTCAAACAATGCTAAAAAATAGTCCCCAGACTATTTTTGGATTCTGTTTTTAGCATTTTGGGGGTACTTTTTATTTTTCGTCGAAAAGCTCCTTGTAGGGGGACAGGCCCGACCTAACGTTATTATCGTTGTCCCCGTTGTTATCGTTGTCATCGTTATCGTTATCGTTATCGGGGGCACACAGAAGAGTTGTTCTACAGAAGCCATGACGCGGACATCGTTTCGAGGCACATGGCTCCCAGCAGTCTGATGCAGCAGGGAGTGGGGAAGGGAGTGCCTCGGGAGGGGAGCAGAGGGCCGAGAGTGAGGGCGAGCCAGATCGAGCCAGAGAGGGGGTGCACGAAGCGGACGGGTGGGGGCGGGGGGCGAGGGAGAGCGGGTGGAGGCGAATCGTGGAGTTGAAGAGGGCGAGGAGAGAGAGGGGGTCCGCAGCCTGGCCCAAGAGCCAGGGAGTTCCTCGGAGGAGGAACAGGTGCCCATTACCGCTACGCTTCCTTCGTTTTCCCCTATCTCGGCCTCCTGGTAGGCCCTCGTCGCCGCGGCTGGATTCGCCTCGAAATCCTGGTCAGAACGCACCCCGGCAGAGGTCCAGGGAGCAGCGGTATCGGTACCTTCTGGTTTCCCCAGTTCCGACCCTCTTGCGGCCCGCTGCTTATCGCACACCTCTGCAGCTGCGGTGCTGTGGACCACCTGGGCCTCAGCGCGGCTTCCAAGATGTCGGCGCCCGGGGGCGGCGCGCTGGCTGCGAAGTGCTCGTGCTGGAGTTGCTGCGACGGCAGCGCCGTGGGGCAGGAGGCCGGCGAGGTCGCAGGGGCGACGCAGCAGCCGCACCTGCCCGAGTTGGAGGAGGTGGAAGTGACGGAGCGGAAGCAGGAGCGGTGGGAGGAGTGCGGCGGCCTTGAGCTCGCCCCCGTGCTCGGCAGCGGGGCGGTTGTCCTGGTGGACGCGGAGTGGGTGGTGGAGCGGGCGGGCTCCGGCGGAACCCTCGAGCCGCGCCAGGCCTTGCCGCCGACTGCGTTCATGCCCCACAGCGGGGTCAAAGCTGCCACACCTGACGAAGAAGGCGTTGCGCCACTGCTGCACGTCGCTTGTATCTCACACTGTTGGTTGCAAGCTAATCACCCCGACCCTCACGGCCACAACCTGCGCATCCTGAGCTGGGCTTTGCAGCTGCTGTTCGCAGATAACAGTGATGATGGAATTTGTTTCAATGGCCGCTGGGCAGTGTTCATGGATTTCTGTTGCATTCACCAGAACTGCAGGGATTGCGAGGGCTCCCCTCAACGGTGCACGTATCAGCGGCTCGAAGGTTCCGAGTGCTTTGAGGCCAACGCAATCGGCAAATTCGAGCGCGAGCGTAAGCTCTTCACGGATGCCTTGGGCAGCCTTGGGAGTTTCTACTCCCACCCCGCCACAGTCGTATTCATGTTGACACGGTTCCCCGACGATTACGACAATTTTGCAAAATACACCCGATTTGGCAACATTGCGCCTTATTTCGACCGCGGCTGGTGTTTTTGCGAGTCCTCATGGGCAATGTTGACGAAACCTTCGTATTTCTTGGTGGTCCTCGGACGAGCCACTGGAGACGAGATACGCTATTATGGCTTCGCTGACTGTTCGCTGATGCACACGGGGTCCGCAGGGCGGAAGGCGCCGGCCTTGCCCGACGCCTTCGAAGCGGAGCTCCACAGCAAGGGCTTCACGAACGGCAAGGACGATCGGCCACGGGTTGCCGAGCTGTACCCTGTCGGCGTCCGCGCAGCGCTTCGAGTCCGCAGAGTCGCTGTTCTACGAGGTCCTGGGATGGGGGGACGAGGAGGTCAGGCAGCTGGCCGTGGTGCTTGCTTCGGGCGCCCTGCCGCGGCTGCAGGCGCTCGACCTTTTTGGCAACCGCGTGGGGGACGAGGGCGCGGCCGCCCTGGCGGCGGCCCTCCGGGCCCCGGGCGCCCTGCCGAGCCTGCAGGTGCTCAACCTCACCAACACCGCGTTTGGGACGAGGGCGCGGCCGCCCTGGCGGCGGCCCTCCGGGCCCCGGGCGCCCTGCCGAGCCTGCAGGTGCTCGACCTCGGCGACAACCGCGTGGGGGCCGAGGGCGCGGCCGTCCTGGCGGCGGCCCTCCGGGCCCTGGGCGCCCTGCCGAGGCTGCAGCTGCTCCACCTCGGCGGCAACCGCGTGGGGGACGAGGGCGCGGCGGCGCTGCGCGCGGCGTGGGCCGCGGGCGGCCGCCCCGTAGACGGCATGGGCGAGCTGGCGCAGGGCTCCTTCCGGAGGGGCCTGTATCTCTGAGGGCTTGCTCCCCGCTCGGAGTCTCCGGAGCCCTCGCTGCCCTGCTCTCGTCATCTCTCTCTCTCTCTCGTTCTCTTTCTCTGTCTCTTTCTCTTCCTTGTTGTTTGATTTGTTTCTGTTTTGTTTTCTCTTGTTCTCTCTCTCTCTCTCTTTCCCCATCCTCAATCTCCCTCTCACTCTCTCTCTCGCTCTTTTCTCTCTCTCTCTCTGCTCTCTCTCTCTCTCTCTCTCGCTTGTTATCTGTCCCTTCCTCTGTCCCTCTCCCTGTCCCTCTCCCCGTCCCGCTCTGGAGCACCCCAGTGCCGGTCCCAGGTGCAGGTATTGCGATGGCGCCGACGAAACTCAAACTCACGTGGTCCTCTTGCGCCGTTGTCGGGAAGCGGCGCGGGCTCCCCTTTGGGAAGAGATTTCCGTGGAGGAGCGTAAATCGAGCGCACTGGAAGACGAGAGAGGTCGGGCAGTTGAGAGGGCCTCGAGGCTAGTGCGCCAGCAGGAGAGGCAGATGAGCGACGCAAAAACACGGAGTCGTGTGCTCCAACATTGGCGCATGAGTTGCCCGCGTATGGTCGCGCGTAAGCGCCCTCGTTTCCAAGGTGGTGTGACACGCTGGCGGCCCGCGTAAGCCGCCGCGTAAGGTCGCTACGCCATCTCCCTCAAGACCTGTTTTTCATCGTCGCTCAGATGGGACAGGCGGGCGAGAAGGAGACGCCCCCTGGTGTACTTGTCGCCAACTCGACCGTGATCTCTGCACAACACATGTACTTGAGCTCGACCGTGATCTCTCGACCGTGGGAAGCCCCAGTATTCTTGAGAATCCGTTCGGAATCTCAGGATTGCGCAGGACGTGCCAGATGCTGTAGGAATCCCTTGGTTGTTTGAAGATTCGTTGAAAATCCTCCAAATTCGTCTGGCTTGTTGAATGTTCGTTCGGAGGTTTCCGGATTCTTCTTGGGCCCTGAGGCTTCCTTCAGGATTGGTTGAGAATCTCAAGAGTTCTTCAGAATCTTTCAGGATCCAAAAGCCTTCAGAACCTTCGTTTTTTTGAGATTATTTAGAGTCTATATAATGTTCCAGAAGCCCACATAATCCGACATAATCGTTCATAATCCTTCAGAATAGTTCAGAATCCTTCAGAAATCTTCCAGAATCTTTCAGGCGGGTGGATTCCTCAGGAGTCCTCAGGATTCCTCAGGGGTCCTCAAGAGCCCGTAGGTGTGAAGACTTCCAGACGCTCTTCAGAATCTCTCTTCGCGGTTGTAATCCAGTGCTCCCTTCTTAGAGTAGTTAGTATAGAAATCTTTTAGATTGCGATCAGTTCGTTTCCAGTTGTTGTAATCGGTCTGAAGCGGTTCGCGAACAGTCCAAAGTAGCTGAGATCGGTCTTATTATCCCCCCCTTGCCCGTCAGCTTCCCCATCGCCTCCCCTCCGTTATTTTCCTTCCCCTCCACCTCCCTTCCTCCCTCTCGCCCATCACATCCGCCACCCTCTCGTCGGCTCCCCCTGACGAACGCCACCCAGGCGCAATGTGCCGAGTGTTTCAACAGCCTGGTTCCGATTGGAAGGAATTGCCACTTTCGCACGCAAGGTTTGGTAGTCTCGGCTCCATCATTCAGGATCGCCGAGCTTGCAAAGCATGTGCCATACCGTTGCTGCGCGAGGTGTCTCGGTATCCGAACGCTGGACCGCCGAGCATAGTAGGGCAGGTATTTGTCCGAAGGCTTCTCGGCCCCAGGTGGGGCTGTGAAGCATTATAGCATTTGTAGTTCTTTTTGGTTGGATGGATGGGCGCGGCGGAGGCTTATCATTATTATCATTACTGTCTTCACGCCGAAGCCGTTGTTGTACAAGCGTTTTCAGGTTTGGCGCGGGCACGCGCAGCAGGAGGTGCTTACCAGTACCTGTTCCGACCTCGCCTACACAGAGGCGGCGCCCTTCTGGAAACGCATGTGCTGAAAATGCTGGTCTCTCCTTCTGCCTTGACCCCCCTCGCCCCAATCCTGCGGGGCCTCGAGTCTAGCGGCGCCGACCCTGTACGCCAGCAGGAAAGGCAGATGAGCGACGCAAAAACACGGAGTCGTGTGCTCCAACATTGGCGCATAAGCTGCCCGCGTAAGGTCGCGCGTAAGCGCCCTTGTTTCCAAGGTGGTGTGACGCGTTGGCGGCCCGCGTAAGCCGCCGCGTAAGGTCGCTACGCCATCTCCCTTAAGACCCGTTTTTCATCGTCGCTCAGATGGGACAGGCGGGCGAGAAGGAGACCCCCCCCAGGGTACTTGTCGCTGTGCCACCTCGACCGTGATCTCTGCACAACACATGTACTTGAGCTCGACCGTGATCTTTCGACCGTGGGAAGCCCCAGTATTCTTGAGGATCCGTTCGGAATCTCAGGATTGCGCAGGACGTGCCAGATGCTGTAGGAATCCCGTGGTTGTTTGAAGATTCGTTGGAAATCCCCCAGATTCGTCTTGCTTGTTGAATGTTCGTTCGGAGGTTTCCGGATTCTTCTTGGGCCCTGAGGATTCCTCCGCAGTCTTCAGCTTCCTTCAGGATTGGTTGAGAATCTCAAGAGTTCTTCAGAATCTTTCAGGATCCAAAAGCCTTCAGAACCTTCGTTTTGTTTGAGACTCTTTAGAGTCTACATAATATTCCAGAAGCTTACATAATCCTACATAACCGTTCTGCATCCTTCAGAATATTTCTGAATCCTGCAGAAATCCTCCAGGATCCTTCAGGCGGGTGGATTCCTCAGGAGTCCTCAGGATTCCTCAGGAGTCCTCAAGAGCCCGTAGGAGTGAAGACTTCCAGACGCTCTTCAGAATCTCTCTTCGCGGTCGTAATCCAGTGCTCCCTTCTTAGAGTAGTTAGTATAGAAATCTTTTAGATTGCGGTCAGTTCGTTTCCAGTTGTTGTAATCGGTCTGAAGCGGTTCGCGAACAGTCCAAAGTAGCTGAGATCGGTCTTATTATCCCCCCCTTGCCCGTCAGCTTTCCCATCGCCTCCCCTGCGTTATCCCCCTCCCACCTCCCTTCCTCCCTCTCGCCCATCACATCCGCCACCCTCTCGTCGGCTCCCCCTGACGAACGCCACTCAGGCGCCTCAGGAAGTCGACACCCCATGCCTTTCGAATGCGTCCGGAATCGTTGAAGCTTGGCGTAGCACATCCAGAAACGATCTCGGGCCGATTCGCTTTATGGTTATTAATGTGGATGTGCATGCAGCCCAGGAGTGCGCAATCTATGTTTTCGCCGTCTCCCGAAGGAGAAATTGGAAGGATGAGGAAATGGAGAAGGGAGGAGGGAGAAAGAGAAGCAGCAGGACGACGATGCGGAGAATGATGATGATGATGATGATGATGATGATGATGATGATGATGAGGAGGAGGAGGAGGAGGAGGAGGAGGAGGAGGAGGAGGAGGGAGGAGGAAAAAAGGCGATCAGAAGGAAGAGGAATCTGACCACTCAGCTTGGGGTGAACCTTAGGTTAAGTCTTAGGTGGGAGCAGTAGGAGGCGAAAAAAGAGGAGGAGGAGGATGGGGGAGGGAGACCGCGGCGACGGTGACAGGAGTCCACCATAGGGCCTTCGCGGATCTTTCACTATGGGAGATTGTTGGGGCCACGTTAGGAGCACTGTTGGGGTCTCTTGGTGTCCTTGCGGCGGCCATCTTGGAGGACGTTGATTAAAACATGGAGCAGATTAGCAGTACCCGACAGATCATATCTTGGAGCTCTCTCGGGGCGCTCTTGGAGTCGTCTTGGGGCCTGTCTGGGCACCTCTTTGGTCTCTTGGGCGCGCTCATAGAGCCGTCTTGAGGCCTCAGAGTCTTATCGAAAGCGAAAAGGCCAGAAGCAAACGACATATTCTGGGAGGCGTCTTTGGGAAGCTCCGTGTTAAGTTTGGACCGTCTGGGGACATGTTGAAGGACTGTTAAAGGCTATTTCGAGCCAACTTGGACTGCATTGCACCATCTTGGAGGCCGTCTTAGGACATCTGGGGCAATATTGGAGCCATCTTGGCCCGAAAGCTTCCCAAGAGTGTTCACGAAAAGACAACACCCTTCTAGACCACAGGTCGTTACAGCTTTCTGTGACAACGGGGACGGCTCGAATTGACGTCGCCCCTCTAAATTGGCGACGTCACTTCGCGCCGCCCTTTTTCCATGGGCGATTTGTCATGCTCCTAGATTTCTTTGCAACACGACACGCCGCCTTTAGAGCCAATTCGGGACGATGTTGGAGCGAGCTCGGGCGCCTTCAGAGTCGTTGTTCGAGACCTGCTTGCGGCTGTTCCAGGGTATCCTGGAGCCCGCTTTGGGCCTCGGGAGTCCATCGGAAGCGAGATGAAGAGTAGGCACGCAGGCACTTGGACACCTCATGCGGTTTTTGAGTGGCTCCTGCCTCGGAGGACACCTAGTCTTGGGCGGCTCCGTTCCGTGGCTAGGCGGAGCCGTCTTCTCGGCAGCCGAGGAGCTTCTTATGGAGTATGGAGGCATGCCGGAGGCCATCTCGAGCCGTCCTGGGCGATCCCGTGCTATCTGCAGGCCACCTTGTGGAGGAGGAGGAGGAGGCGGAGGCGGAGGCGGAGGCGGAGGCAGAGGCGTGAGGAGGAGGAGGAGGGTGGAGGAGGGAGGAGGAGGGAGGAGGAGGAGGAGGAGGAGGAGGAGGAGGAGGAGGAGGAGGAGGAGGAGGAGGAGGGAGCCACTGTCGGCTTCTGGGGTCCCTTCCCGGGCCTCGGGACCGTCGAGGAACGCCTCGGGATGAGACGCCGGTCCGGGGGGGAACGGGTCCAGACCTTTGTCGAGCAGTGGCGAAGCGCCCCGGCTCGCCTATAGCCCCACCAAACAATGTTCCCACGAAATGTTCTTAGAACATTTCTGGCCTGGACTGGCTTGCTTTAACACATCGGGTCAACGTTCTAAGAACATTGTGTTTATTCGTAAAACATTTTTGGGTTCTAAGAACATTTCGTGGTAGGACTATAGAAATGCCGGGGCGGTGGGTCCCTG